CCTAGTGATTCCTAAACTTTGGTTCCCAACATGGGAGGCAGGCAGACCTGAGTTCGAGGCCAGTCTGCTGTATAGAATTACTCGTTTCAGGATAGCCAAGACTATACAAAAACTCGGTCTGAAAAGAACAAAGTCAAACAGGAGACTCTTCCCTGTGTGCTGCCTTCTGCTGTGGCAACATAAGGTTCCAGAAAAAGGTTTCTCTTCCATGACTAAGTAAAAAGATAACTGAGTGATGGGGCATGCTTTAATCCTAGCACTTGGAAGGTAGAACTCAGACAAATCTCTGAGTTCAAGGCCAGCCTGGTTTACGTAGCCAGTTCTAGGATAGTCAGGGCTACAAAATGAGACCTTATCTCAGAAAAATTAAAAACCAAACCAAACCTGGGGGCTGGAGAGATGGCTCAGTGATTAAGAGCACTGAGCTCAATTTAGTGACCACATGGTGGCCCACAACCATCGGTAATGGGACCCAGTGCCCTCTTCTGGAGTGTAGGCAGAACAACCACCACCAGCCAGTATAAAGAATAATAAGATGGAAATGGATGTGGAAGATACATGATGTCTTTGTCTAGCCTTCACATGCAACACAACAGGAAATGTATAGGGGGAAGAAAAACGAGGGCCACAAAGATCTTTTAAGGAAGGTTTCTCAAGACAGTTTCTCTGTGTAGCCCTGGCTGTCCCCGAACCTGCTCTGTAGACCAGGCTGGCCTTGAACTCAGGGTCTGCCTGCCTCTGCTTGCCCCTCCCTCTCCCCGGAGGGCTGGGATTAAAGGTGCGCACTGCCAGCACCTGCAGCAGGTTGTGTCTATGTATCTGTGTATCTGTACTGAGCACAGTGTGGTGGCTACACATCTGATCCTAGCAGTTGGGAGGCGGAGGTCAGCAGAGCTCCATAGTGAGACCCTGTCTCAAAAGAAAGCAGAAGGGCCGGTTCAGTGGTTAAGAACACTGGCTCCTCTTCTAGAAGACAGGGGTTCGATTCTCAGTACCATATAGTGGCTCCCAATTGTGGTACTCCTGTTTCAGGGGATCCAATGCCTTCTAGTCTCTAAGGGCACCAGCACATATGTGGTGCATAAACAAACATGGCAGACACCCATGCACATCAAAAAAGAAAAAAAATAACTGAGAAATCCTGCACACAAGCATCTACACATAACCTTAACAATAAGAGGAGATACTATTCTAATCCTGAATTAAAGAAGCGGCTGGAGAGATGGCTCAGTGCACCGGCTGCTCTTCCAGAGGTTCTGAGTTCAATTCCCAGCAACCACGTGGTGGCTCACAACCATCTGTAATGAGATCTGGTGCCCTCTTCTGGCCTGCAGGAATTACATGCAGGTAGAACACTGTATACATAATAAATTTTAGGATTCTTTTTTTCTGTTTTAAGTCTGTCTCCACACAGGTCTCCAGACCCCACACTAAGGACCACTTCATGTTGGCTTTCCTGCTGAGCTTTTTGTGATACCCAGGCTCCCCAGAGTCTCACTGCTCTACTGTACGCTGAGTCTGCTCTTACTCTTTGGGCCGCTGTTTCTGAGGCCGCTCCTCTCTGGAAGGACGGCTTTCACTGCTGTGCCTTTTCTTTCCCAGGTGCTTCTGCATGTCCCTCAAGGGGTCCAACCGGCTCTTGATCTTCTCGTCTGGGCTTGGGCCTGGAGGGCAGCCCCCTTGCCTTGGGGGGAGCTGGTACCAAGGAGGTTGCGTTTGAGCCTCTGCTGCGCTCTGGCCCAAATACGTCGGGATGCCTAGTGCTTTCTCTTGCCTCTCCTGTGGGGGCAAGAAAACAAAATAGTCTTTCCAAGTCCCTCTGGGAGCCCTAGATATGGCATGTGGCAGTAGGGAAACCCAGGGCCTGAGTTCCCAGTGAGGCAGGGGCTGGTGGGTATTCAACAAGGGAAATCACAGACCAGGGGCCAGCTACGCAAAAGTGCTGATGGCTAATCTGCAGGGGGCGTCTAAGGAAAAACTGCAGCAAAGCAGAGGAGTGGTTTCAGTGGGATGCAGGAGAGCCACAGTACAGTTCACAATGTGAGAAGCACAAGCGCCATCTGGCGACT